CCTCCTCCTCCTCCTCCTCCTCCTCCTCCTCCTCTTCTTCTTCTTCATCCCTCGTGTCTCTCGTTTTCCAGTACGTAAGCACAGCTTACTTCTATACTTCCTCGTTGCACTCACCAAATTTCCTGACCAACCTTCTCTCCCTCCTCCTCTCCCACCTACACTAACGCCACCACCACCACCACCACCACCCTCAGCCCTTGTCTCATTCTCTTTCTTCTATTATTACCTAGCTATCCATTCGTTCTCATCGTGGATGCACTTTTCGCGACAACTACGAAACACGCGATTCGGTGCAGTGACATTGACGATGCCTTTCTCTCTTCCTTGTATCTTTTCTCCTTTAGTTTTCATTCCTTTCATTGGACACGTTTCAACGATCTTGTTCAATTGTATTTCATTTTGTAGGTACACACTAGATATATATATGTCGGTGTTATACATGATTAGTAAGATAAAAAAAATAAATAATACAAATTTAATATAAAAGTAGAATGAATTTAAAATATAAGTTTATCTTATCAGTACACAATATACATTGACGGATACTTTTTCATTGAAATTGAAGGAATTCATGAATGAAAATGTCGAATTTGTATTATTTAAAAGAAGAAGAAGAAGAATAATAATAATAACATACATTGTAGTGCCGATAAAATTCACAGTCCATGTAGTTTCTTTTTATTTTCAATAGGATTCACATACATATACTCACATATACACGTGCGCGCATATTCACACGCACACGTGTATATGCACGGAAGGAAGATCAAGCATGCATCGTAACCGCACTTGCAATTCACGTGCACAAGCATCACTCTCGTGGCATCACTCGAGAGAATATCAATAAGTTCGGTGTTTTATATCTAAACTGCGAAAAAACGTATCGGCTCTGTCGATTTTTCTTCCTTCCTTCGTTCCTTCGTTCTTTCTTTCTGTTTTATTTTTATTTTTTGTTCTTATATTTTTTCTTTTTGTTGTTGTTTTTTAACAAGAAAGCTACGGTACGTGTACAGTGTAGACAAAGACGAGAAAGTTGAGTTACGGTTTGCGATGCAACGAGATTTTTAGGTCGACTCGAACTAACGCGATTGCATGAATTCTAAAGTTTGACTTTGTCTCGTGTCTTTTGGTTATCTTTTATTTCTATTTCTTTCTATTATTAATATCTAGTCAATGTTAGTTTTGTTAAAATGACCATATTAGTACTATATCCAAATAAAAATGAAATAACATTAACATAAAACAAAAAATTCAAGATGTTTCTTTTGTTGATTAATTATAACCAAAAAAAAAAAAAAACATCCCCCTCTCAAAAAAAATGATATAAAAAAATATGTAGGATAAAAATGATAATAGAAATAAAAGAAATGTATGATGTGCATGTAAATAAAATGAAAGTTGAATAATTGCTATAAGACATAAGTAAAAATATACATGACGTATAAACTCGTGGATGAGCTCGTTACCACCGACGTTAGTTTTGCATATAAGGCGCGATGCTCGCAAGAATTATGGTCACTGACCTTCCTTCTTCGTTCATAATTTCAAAAGGCCTCCGGATAATGGGAGAACGCCGTTCGTTCGTTCGTTCGTTCGTTCCTTCGTTCGCTCAACCGAAAAGACTCCGTAGGGCTTCGTGCGTCGCAGATTAAACGTGGTTCATGTAAAATTCAAATACCAACTCCTGATGTGTACGCGAAAGTTCGAGTTATTAACTTATTTCAAAGACAAGTGAGAAATCGATGATTTAAGCGATTTAAACGATTCTTTTTCTATCTTTCAATATTTTTAACCATAATTCATTTCTTTGGTTTGTGTTTTTTTTTTTTTTATTAAAATTAAAATAATTAATAAGGATAATAAAAATGATCTTTGCAATTGGTAAGAAAGATGCTTGAATTTTGGTCATTTATTTTTTATAAGTGTGTAATTAATTATTATTCCATATTGGAAGATTTTTTATATTAAATTAAATATTGTATATTAAAAAAAGACAAAAATAAAGTTATTCTATTTTTAATATACATATTTGTATATTATTTTATTATATACATTATATAAGTAATTATTCTGGAATAATTTTACTATAATATTATATATTCAAAATAAAAGTAATAAATAAGAGTATAAATAACTATACTTATTATATCATATAATATAATTATTTTTATTAAAATACAATTATATATATATAATAGAAATAATTACCCTAATCCATAAATAAGAAGATAATAATAATAGTAAAAAGTATAAGATTTAAACGAATAGTATAATTCTATTATCGAAGATATTCCAAATAAGTGTTGTAATACTCTTACAATGGATATCTAAAGGAATCTATATCGGTTCATCGTCGTCGTCGTCGTCGTGTTCGTCGTAGTCGTCGTGGTCGTCGTGACTCGACGAAAGTGGAAACGGTTTCAGGGTTAAAAGCCCTGCAGTATCTCGTAATCGGATTGTAAGCCGGGTATAGGAGAGGATGCGGAAAAGTGTCCGTCGTCCGATCAATTACTTCCAAGTAAGAGAAAACGGGGGATACCTTATTGGTTGATCGTTCCGATATCATCGGAAGGAAGTAATAAAAAAAAAAAAATAAAAAAAAATAAAAAAAATGAATATAACAAAAAAATACCCCCAAGAAGAGAAGAAGAAGAAAAAAAACATCGAAAGCAGGAAGTATTTACTCACTCTTGGCTAGGGTTTGTAAAAATAAAACACAAAAGATTTCAAAACAAAAAATACCAAAAAAAAAAAAAAAGATAAAAAGAGAAAGAATCGGGGGATGATGGTGAGGGTAGAGGGTTAGGTAGGTAGATAGGGGATTGGGAATATTGGGAGGAAAGGGAGTTGGGTTGTAGTAAAAAGAAAGAAGAAGGGGGTGATCTCGAGTAGGTTCTTTATTTGTAACGTAGTACGATCTCTTGTCGCGATATATCGATCCTAAAATGCGAATTCTTTCATAAACATAGATAGATAGATAGATAGATAGATGATCTCCATTCGTACGTTCGGTTCGTTCAGTTAGGATTTCGTTGGTTGGTTCGTTGGTTCGTTGGTTGGTTCGTTCAGCTCGTTCGTTCACTAAATACCGCAGCATCGCGGAATTAAAATATTGATCGAACACCGTCGCGAGGGAGAATACGAATTGCGGTGGATAGAAGAGAAACTCGATGGGTCCGCTAGCAGACGAGTGAACGAATACAGAAAAAAAAAAAGAGAAAGAGAGAGATAAAGATGGAATGATAGACGAGGAGGAGAACAAAAAAAAAAAGAAAAAAAAAGTGATTGCGGTCCAGCCGAAAACGCGAATGTCAGTGACTCCCGCGAACGAGACTCGACGAACTTTCATCCAAATGCTCCAGGGATTTCCTCGAATAGAAAGAAAAAGAAAAAGACAGAGAAATAGAAAGAGAAATAGAAAGAGAGTTTTGAAAAATCTTCTCGAAAACCAGTCCCTCCCATCTTCCACCCAAAACCATTGTCAACTACCACCTAACCTTTCCCATAATCTCTTATCTAACTTCCCCCAAACACCCTCTTGCCACTCCTCCTCTCACGTGATAGACTAATTAAGCAGAATCGTTTAGATAAAAGCATCGAACAAGGTTGAACAAAAAAAAAAAAAATCCGTTCAATTAGAAGCATGCCTTGAAGCTTGGTGTTACTTTTCAAAAGGGGAAACTTCCTATTTCTTCTTCTTTTGATGCTTTTCATTGAACTTTTCTTACTCAATGTTTATATTCTCCTTTCTTTCTTTTTCTTCTTTTCACCCTATCTTTATTCTTTTATTCTCAAGAATTATCTTTCGTGAATAAACGGAATTTCTTCTTATTATTTTTCATCCCTTATCTTTATCTTCCTTGATAAAGTTTAAGTTCGTTCAACTCGACTTTCCATTTTTAACTTCTTCGATATAATAATTTAACTTCTAACGTTTACCGAGTTTTCGACAAACTTTCAACTACGATTTTTCCAACCCCCTCTCTCTTCTCTCTTTTTCTTCTTTACCCTTCCTTGCGATATTTCCATTATTATTTTTATTCCAATTTTATGATCATAAATTCTCTCATTTACTTTTATTGTTTTCACAGTTAACTTGAATGAAAGTTAATTCGAACAATGTGGTGTTTATGATTTGATTTTTTTTTTTGAGGTTCAGAAAATTAATTTTTTAATAAGAATAAAATATAAAGGGAATGTTTCTTTTTTTTTTTTTTGGAGAATAGATTTTCTTTGATATTTTTGTTTTGTAAATTCCATAAGAAATTAGCCACGTTCATACTTGTTACGGTCTTTAACAGGATATAAAGAAGATCTATTTAGTTAACGATAAGCTCGATTAAGAATGGAAGATAAAAAAAAAATCATTGGTGTGAGAGAGAAAGAGAGAGAGAGAGAGAGAGAGAGAGAGAGAGAGAGAGAGCTAAAGAGTTTGAGAGACCTAGCACGATGGCACGTCACGAGGTCGCCCGCCGCCAAAAATAACTTCAAACCTGATTATTTTTATTCTTAAGCGCGCGATATTAGCGAGAGCTTCGCTACGTGCTCGTTTCGCGTTAGAGTTTTCGCTAAATGATGAACCTAGCTTTCTCCTAATGCTATTAAAATACAAAAGAAGAAAACAACAAAAGAAATAATATATTTTTCATTTCCCTTATTCAGTGGTGAGAATCGTGTCTGACCAATATACCCTAAACTACTTGGAAAGCTAATAATCTTTATTCACTTATATTTCTTTTCCATGTTTTTTTTCTTTTAAATTTATTTTTATAAATTATATTATATTTAATATCTTTTAATAATTATATAATAATAATAATTTTGTATTAATTATTAATTAAATTATTTTTATATACTTACAATTATTACAATTGTAAATAATAAATCTTTTTATCCTCGAGTATATTTTTTTTCATATTTTTTGTTTTGTTATTATTTATAATTTTGTTTGATCTTAAAATTTAGAGAACAAAAATGACGTTTGAAGATAATTAACTCACCTGGAGCTCCTCCTTACACTGACGTTCCTCTTCGAGACTCATCCGTTTCTCGTGTTTCTTATAGTAACGCCTCTTGGCGGCTTGTAGATTAAACCACGTGTACGAGAAAGACTTCACGAATGGTAGGAGGGCCTCAATGAATGGATGGAACTCATCCTGCAACGTAGGACATACAAATTTTTTTTACATTTATTTCTTATACAATTAACTGGTTAATCAAATCATCATAATATCGTTCATTTTTACGTACAATTTAACAAGCGCAATCTTATTAAATACGATTCCTCTCGAGCATTAGCATTACAAAATTAGATTTCAATATTATCGATTTTAATGGTTGATTTGGATTGAGAAAAAATTGAAAAAGTAGGGAAAGGAACACATTTAATTCAATTGAACGTAATTTGTTTCATTCAAATTGAATGGAAGTTGGAAGTTGTACTATAGTTTAAGTTTCATCGCGGGATAGTTTGAATTTCCCGCGCAGGGTTATCGATAGAGGGTTCGAGTGGTGCAAAGCTTATTCAAATCGTGCGGCAAATGTTGAAAGAAAAATAAGAAAAATAAGAAAAATATAAAGTTGAAGCGGATCAAGAGAAATGTAAAGAAAATACCTGAGGATGAAAATATTGCAAAACAAAAAATTCAAGGAAAAAAATCGACGATGCGAAGCGAACGACGAACAAATTCAAAGGATAAAAAGGGGATAAATAAACAAATGTAAGAAAGGGAAAATAATGAATGAAAGAAAAGAAAAAAGAAAAAGTGGGCGCAGAGCAACGACACCAACCATCGAGTATTCGCAAGCACCGCGACTGTTGTGGCACACTACCGTCTGTCTGTCCCTCCGCTCGTCCGGTTGTCAGAAGCACCGATTCTCGTAGTACCCGTGACGATACTCCTCGTCGCGATACTCCTCCGCCACCCTTTCGCAGATCGATCGTGGCCTCATCTGCACTCAAGCCCGGAATAACGCGTCTTAACGTCCTCAAAGGGACGATTAACGACCAACCAATCAATTCAACTCAACTTTTATTTATTTATATCCAAAAATACCTTCAAATGTCTAATACCAACCAACTACAACTTTTTACAGATTTTTAACTGATTATTACATCGAACACCAATTTCACGATTTATAACAAGAAAATAATCTTTATTATTATTATTATTATTATTATTATTATTATTATTATTGTTGTTGTTTTTGTTGTTTTTGTTGTTGTTGTTGATCTAAATAACACACATCTACGTATATAAATAATGTGTGCGTTTATTTCTAATACCAACAACTTCCTATAAATTTTAACTATTGATTGCACCAATGCACGATTTACAAAAATAAAATAACCATTACTATTATTATTATTATTATTGTTGTTATATTGAAAATAGCACACATCTAAGTATATACGTATATAAATATATGCGTGTATATCTAATACTAGCAACTACATAGATTTGAACTATTGATCGATGATAATGATGATTGCGTACACACCAATGCACGATTTAGAAAAATGAAATAATAATTATTGTTATTATATTGAAAATAGCATGCAATTACGTATATATATGTGTTTGTATGAATCAGATATGCATTTTTTTTTGTATAAAATCCCTAAAGAGAGTCTGATTTACAGTGAACAAAAACAGAAACTATTATATTATCCAACATTTATTATTATATTGAATAAACAGAAAGTAAAATTTGGTATGAAGTTTCAGGGCAACCCCGATAATTTGACAATTCGAGCAACTCGATTTGTTTGAACGAAGCCAAAAGAGAATCGTGTCGTCGGTGTTCATGTTGCTTTGTCACCGGTTAAACGGTAGCAAGAAGCATGCTCGTGAGGTCGAGCCTTTAAGAAGCTCGAAAGTCGAGCAAAGCAATGTGTGCACGCGTGCGATCCTCTCTCTCTTTTTTACACACACACACACACACACACACACATACATACACTTATACTCTAACTCTCATCGACGACGTATATACACTCGCACAGAGCAACAGAGAAACAGAGAAAGAAAGAGAGAGAGAAGGAGAGTGACTATATACGACGTCGTTATTTTCAGACAGCAAGGAAAATCGAAAAACATTAAGAAGCTTCGTGACGACCACGACGACGACGACTACGAAGACGACGACGATACTCGACGACGATGCTCTCGTCGACGTCGTCAGAAAAATTCTTCTTCTTCTTCTTCTTCTTCTTCTTCTTTTTCTTCGTCTTCTTCTTCTTCTTCTTCTTCTTCTTCTTCACATAAGTTACTCACACGAAACAAAATGAAAAATAAAAAATAAAAAACGATTTAATCATTCTTTTCTTTATCATAGTTCTTACGGGGTGTTACACGGTAATTGCAATAAAAGTGGTTTAACCTTCGAACTGAGATCTATAAGTGAATTGTGACGTTACCAGAAAAATAGATGACGAGTATCTTAATCGATGATATTAATATATCTATCGAAAGATTAATTAACATAAATAAATAAATGAGAAATTCGGGGATATGTTTCTTTGGTCACCGAAATTACACCTAATACGAAGGTCACTTGTATTCTTGATGATTCTCTTTCTCTTTCTCTTTCTCGTTCTCTTTCTCTTCCTTTCTTTCTTTTTCGTCTCTCTTAGGCTACCATTTCGCGCCGCACGCGCACGTTTAGATATTCAACGAGAAAGAAAAACAGAGAAAGAGAAAGAGAAAGATAGTAGCCGAGGTTCAAAAACGATTTCGTGCCACGAATTTCGTCGACGTCTTTTCTCTCTCTCTCTCTCTCTCTCACACACACACACACACATACACACATGAACAGGATCTTTTTTAGATCGCTCGGTTAGCCGACGAGGTGTACGATTAACCCCGTTCTTCTTATGCACACCTATGAGTAACACGTAAATATCGATCTATCAATCTATCCCAACCTTTTTTTTTTGTCCTTCCTTACATCTACTCATACAAACACACACATACATGAATATGCAAATATGTACGTGTACAACGAAGATAGAATGATCTAGAAAAATATTGAGAGAGATTTGTAAATGTTTCAAAATTCCAAAAACAATAATGAGGGTGAAGAACAACAACAACAACAATAATACTAATAATAATAATAATAATAATAATAATAATAAAGAAAATGAGAAGAAAGCAAAAAAAAGGAAACGTACCACGCGCGCACGAGACAATACGTTTTCTCACGCGGATAAATAATCAATCAAATTGATTATATTAAGTATAATAAGAGGACGGAGCGCACACGAGAGAATAGGAGTACGACGTCGGTCGTCGCGACGACACTGAGACGCCGGCCGTCGAGACGCGCGTATCTGGTGCGCTCTTGTGGACGGGGCTCGGGGGACGCGTGCGGGAATCGTGCGGGAAGCGTGCGGGACGCGCCGGACGGCACCGGCACCCCAAACCGTTTATTAATAGACCTCTGTCCTAGCTTACTAGATTTGCCCTCGAACCAAAGCGTTTCTCTCAAGAGAGAGAGAGAGAGAGAGAGAGAGAGAGAAACTTCTCACCTCCTCCTCATCTATATGTTATAATCTCACACCTTACCCCTCCCTCCTCTTCCTTACACTCTCCCTGATCCACCTTCTCTTCTTCCTCTTTCTCTTTACTTTTCTTTTTATTTTTTATTTTTTTTAAATTATCAATATACATGCATAAGAATAAATTTTCTATACAAATATCTTAATAATTATTATTATCATCATTTAAATATGAAACTAATTATGTTCAGATTTATTTGAATTGGAATTTAAATCAATGCATGTATTTTGTAATTATTACTTCAATGTACTTACACAAATACTAATATTATTATAAATGTAAGTATTCTATATAGTATTATTAGATAGACACGTAAGAATTTTGTAATACTTCATCGATCACGAGAAATTCTTTTAATCTACGTGTTGTGCCAACATAATTACAGCAGTTTTTGATTTCGACACTGTTTGATATTCTTCGAGGGACTCGTTCCAGAACAAATAAACCCGAGTCGTGTATTCTAGCTCTCCCTTTAATTCATTTTCTTTCTCTTTCTCTCTCTCTCTCTCTCTCTCTCTCTCTCTCTGTTTCTCTCCCTCTCATTCACATCTCTTTTTTTATAACTGGTAGGATGGGAGGGAATAATTTTTTGTACAATTTTTATTAACCACCAATCGATATTTTAATCGAATCAAAATTTAAATGAATGTTCAATTATTTAATAAATTTTAAGAAAATAAAACATCCAGAGAAAGATCAAATATACTTTTCTTTTTTTTCACCGAGCCGATCGATTCTTCAGTTTGAGTGGACACGCGTTAAACTGGATGATCGTCCCTAACGAGAAAATCCCAAAGGGTAGGACACCGAAGAGTGGTGACGATTTAGGATGTACCCAAAGAAAAGAACAAAAATCTAGGGGAGAGAACATCTACAAGAAAATTCATTCCTGCCACGTTCGAAATCCCAAGATAGAGGATTTCCTCTTTTACACATATTACGTACTAAACTACAGTACACTCTGCTACTACGAAACTACACATTTTAATGTTTCTACGTCAAGGAAGGTCTTACAATAACAACAAAAATAAACAAAAATAAAATAAACAAATAAATGTAAGGAATAATTAACCGATAATAAAATCCTATTCTAGTAGTAGTTTAATGAAATTTAACCAGTTGACTGTGGAATTTAGTTTCAAAAGATCATCACAGGGTGCGGAATTAAAAACAAGCAACGACGTGTATACACGTCGAACGCAGGGCAAATGGTATTATTATACATTTTACAAAAAACAAGGAAGGATTACATTTTTATTCAAAGTCAAAAAAACTAAACAATTCGTTTCTGAATACGTTATTCTTACTGAAAGCTTGAAAATTGTCATAAAATAATAAAATACATAAACAAAAGAAAAATTGAAGATAGCAAGAATAAAGAAGAAAGAAAAATAAGAAAATAGTTAACAAAATTTCAAGCTATGTATGTGTGATATGTTTCAAAGTGTGCACGGTACTACGCAAAGTGCGACTTCACAGGTCGTACACCAAAACCTTGTTTCCTTGCGTTTTCCATTTTTTCGAGCAAACGACACATCTTATAAATAAAAATAAATTAAATAAATATAAATAAAATACATAAAGGTCGTATTAGTAATATAAAGGAAACATACCCCACCAAATAATATTCTTATTACATTTTATTGAGATTTCGAGTTTTTATAATGAATGGTAATTTTTGATTTTACACGACGAGTATGCACGTCAAACGCACCACAGTAGAGATTTGGTCCGACGTATATACATGTCGAGCTCACTTAACTAGTTAATTTTATTTAAATTTACTACTTAAATAAAATAAAGAATCCTTAAAATGAAAACTGGTGTTAATAGGACGAAAGATTAGTGATTTTGACTCAATCGAAAATAGGAAGAAAGAAAGAAGAAAAGAAGGAAGATAGATAGATGATAGATAGATAGATAGATAGATAGATAGAAAGATAGAAAGAGGCAAAAGGGGGCCAAGAAAAAAGAAGGACAAGAAAAAACCATTCGCATTGTTAGTATCAAACAAAGCGTCTCACGGCGCCACGGTAACTCTTTCTCTCTCTCTCTCTCTCTCTCTCTCTCACACACACACACATACATACACATATACATATCCAAGGACTATATTAAAAAGCAACGTAAAAAAGACAATGTAGGTACTTTCGGTGGGTAGTTTTCGACCCTTTCCTTCCATGCAACGACACGTCTCCTTCAATCTGGAGAATTACTACGATAGAACGTCACGCTTTCCTTGAATAATAGTCTCGAATATCCTTGCATTTAAAAAGGAAGACAGAGAAAGAAATAATAAAGAGAGAAAAAAGATCAAGATGGAATACGAACGAACGAACGAACGAACGAACGAACGAAAAAAAAAAAAAAAGAAAGAAAGAAAGAAAAACTCTTTCGAGTAAAAATAATCCGTAGAGAATTCACGAGATAGCCAATGAGAAAGAGATAGAGAGAGAGAGAGAGTAAGAAAGAGAGAGAGAGAGAGAAAGATAAAGCGGTGGACGTGTCCGTTTCGTCTAGTCTCGAATAGTTCTTGGAGCCGGACATGGTCCGACCAAGTCAAAGAAATGGATGACACATGGAAGGAGGAGGGAAACGTTTGCTTTCAAGAGAAAGAAGAAGAGACGTGAGCGACGGAAAACGACCAAGAGGATGAGGATAAGGACTGAGAAGAAGAAGAAGAAGAAGAAGAAGAAGAAATAGACAAAAGATAGAATAAGTAGAGAAAACCCGAGAAGACAGAATAAAATGAAATAATAAGACTAAAAATATAAGAAAAAAAGGGAAAAAGATAAAAAGGTAAAACAAGACGAAGAAGAATATCAAAGAGGAAGATAGAAAGTAAAAGACGAAGGTGGATAAATAACAGAAAAAGACAACAAATTTAAGAAAAGGAAGAAGACCAAAAAAAGGAACATTGAATAAGAAGAAGATGACGAGAGAATATCAGGACAAGACAGATAAAGATAGAAGAAGAAGAAGAAGAAGATGAAAATAAAGAAAATGGTGCTTTCGAAGAAGAAGGGTAGATTAAGAAGAAAATACAGAAAGAAGTAGACGGAATAAGAAGAAGAGGAAGTCAAGTAAGATGACTGCTACCAAAGAAGGAAGACAGGAAGAAAGAAAAATAATATGAAGAAGAGGAATTAAAGGAAGTGGACTGCTACTGAAGAAGAAAGACAGGAAGACAGGAAGAAAAAAAAAAGAAGAAAAAAAAGAAAAAGAAAGAAAGAAAGAAAGAAGGGAGGCGACCACGCGGCTGCTGCCACTGAAGGCGATCGATAGCCAAACTCCTCTTCGTCTGGCGGGACATAACATAGAACAAGAAGCGTAGAAGCTGAGTGTAGACGCGGAAGAAGAACCTGGACTATGCATGCTTATAAAGGTAAAATAACAAAAAAGAAAAAAGAGACTAAGAAAGAGAAAAAGAGAGAAAGAAAATACATCGCGATACAACCAACAAGGTTCTTCTTATCGGTACTCTTTTCTCGAGAGATGCACCCCTATGTCCTACCATCCCCTACCTCCTTCACTCTCTTCATTCCACTAACCCTCTCCTATACTCTACTGTCCTCTTTGCTGTCTCCTCTTCTCGTTACGTTCGATTTTTTTTACCTTACAAAAGGTACGTTTTAGATCTTGCTTCTACGATTTAAATATAATAATTGTAATTATTATATTTATTATATAATGAATTTATATATTTAATTATGAAATAAATTGAATTACGAAAATCAAAAAGAAAAAAAATTAAGAGTACATATTATATTGCATAATTAATAATTGTATTATTAATAGTTACGTAATAATTTATAAACGTGTATATGAATGTGTACGCGTGTGTAAACATTAATACAGAAAGAAGGTAAAAAAAAAAAAAATTATAAATTAGAAAAACTTTGGGTTTAATCAATTTTTCAATCATTTTCCGTAAGCATCAACTTGACGTCCAACACACGCGAGATATTCTTCCCGTCGAAACGATCAGAGAGAGCAAAGATAATTACGTTTCACGTTCTCCCTCATATCCTCCCTCCCGAAACTTTAAAATACGCATCACCCCAAAAATAAGTGTCCCGTACGAGACGCTAACGACCCGTTCTAACTTTGCCGAAAGACGACAAAGCAGAGATTATTATTGGTCCTACGATATTCACACCTACGTCATTTAATTTCTTACTTTTTTCTCTTTTTTTTTGGAAGCGAGGGTGGAGGGAGAGGGGATAATTTTGTATCATCGATATTTTCAATTTCAATTGTAAAAAGTTGTGTCTGTGTAACGTGGATATTTTTACGAGGGTAAATTGAAACAATTTGTTAATCTCAGCAGTAACAAAATGTTTTATTTCTTTTTTTAAATATAATAGTAAATTTGATCGAAATGTTTTAATTCACACACGTAGGCATATGCATTGTATTATTTGAAATAAATTTTGTGAGAAGATGTTCTTTTTTCAGCTCTTCGAGATAATCTTTATATCGCGGGAAACAGCTGACGAGTTTGACTGAAGCTTGAGCTACTTTGATCGAAAAACAACGAACGCCACGCGAAACTATCGAACGTGTTCTTTAACGTCCCTACCGAAACTTACAATTAGGTTTCTATATGTATAAACATATATGTACATACATGTATATGTATTATGTGTTTCGTATGAAAAGCACGCTCGATTTGATTTTAAATTTATTTTAATTATGCGAATAATTAAATGCATTACGATTATTGAATACATATGTATAAATTATGGCAGTGAATTAACT